CTCCCTGGCTGTCGGCTCGAAGCCATGACGATGAGAGGAGCAGAGAAGGTTATTCTGTCGCGTGGGGGTTGGTATTGATAGTGCGAGTGGACATCAGTTTCTAAACCATGTACGAGACAATGTGCCTTCTGCAGTGTAGGTGGCCTTGCTGTGCTGCATCTCAGCCCAAGCCACCTGCACCGCCACCACCACCAGCACCGCGACCAACACCACCAAAAGGCCACAACCGCCGTCCCCAGAATCAGCACCGCCACCAACACCGCCTCTACCCAACACCACCACCAACACTGCCTACACCCAACACCACCACACCACTACCATCTCCACCACCAACATCATCTGCAACCAACACCACCACCACCCCACCATCACCAGCACCACCACCGCTGCTTCGGTGGGACCGTAGTTTTAAAAGCAGGGCGGTCGCTGCCGTGGGCGTCATTAGCGCGTCCCGGCGCTCCTTTGTGCCGAGGGATGCGCCTGTTGGCGGTTCTGCCATCAGCATCGCGTGGGGGAGAAAGAATTACCGAGCTAATGGACAGGAGGGGTGGGCGTTAAGATCAGAGGTGGCTCACTCACTGGTTGTTGTTCGTCAAGTGGGGAGGGTCGTTCTCTCACGTTCTTTGACGTCTACGCGTCGGCGTATGATAGCATCACTAACCACACGTTCCGGAGCGAATAGTTGAGGGCTGCTTCGAGGAGTGAGGGCTTGGTCAGGACGTGTCGCTGGGGGGGGGACGGCCGCATCGGCGAGACACTCCTCGAAGCACACCCGAGAGGGCGCCCACCCCGGGAGATGGAGTCACGGAATCAGCTCTTGTGCAGGCGCTAGACGGATTGTTGTCAAGATTGCAGGACTTGAGACGAGGCGACGGTTCAAGGAGGCCTTCATCCAGCAGTAGACTAGATCGTGGCTGTTGACGACGACGATAATATCATCGTGTCCGTGTACACTCACCGCCACCACGTCAGATAAAGCAAATCGACTCATTGTATCGCGAGCCCGGTTCTGCCGCAGGGCGATAAAACGTGACGCCACTACTGGGGAGGGCTGTGCGGGGTGGCGCTGCTGGCAAGCGTGGGGGTGGTGGGGGGGTTGACGGAGCAGAGTATTTTTACTTTGCCTCCCATCCACCTCCTCTCCCCGACAGAGAGAGGTGGGGAGGTGGGGGGGTGGTGGGGGGATGGGGGGGTGTGGGGGGGGGGGTCGTGCGAACGCGTGGCACCGGGGTAATCCCCCCCTGAGCAGCCCGTCACACAGAATCCTGCGCGTGAACCGCTGTGCGGCTCTCGGGACATTTAGCGGGATTAGGGGAGAGGGATCGCTGACGAGCCACACGGCGCTGACGCCCACAAGCATTTTTCTTTTTCTCACAACAACCTAAGGCGGGCGGGTTGGGGTGGTTGGTTGGTTGGGCGGTTGGTTGGGTGAATAGGTTGGTGGGTGGTTGGTTGAGTGGATGGGTGGCTGCTTGGTTGGGTGGGTGGTTAGGTGGGTGGGTGGTGGGTGGGTTGGTGGTTGGTTGAGTGGATGGGTGGCTGCTTGGTTGGGTGGGTGGTTGGGTGGTTGGTTGGTTGGGTGGGTGGGTGGTTAGGTGGGTGGGTTGGTGGGTGGGTGGTGGGTGGGTTGGTGGTTGCTTGGTTGGGTGGGTGGTTGGTTGGGTGGGTGGTTAGGTGGGTGGGTTGGTGGTTGGTGGGTGGGTTGGTGGTTACTTGGTTGGTTGGGTGGGTGGTTAGGTGGGTGGGTGGTTGGTGGTTGCTTGGGTGGGTGGATGGGTGGTGGTTGGGTGGGTTGGTGGTTGGTTGGTTGGGTGGGTGGTTGGTTGGTTGGTGGTTGGGTGGGTGGGTGGGTGGTTGGTTGGTGGTTGGGTGGGTGGATGGGTGGTTGGGTGGGTGGGTGGGTTGTTGGTGGTTGGGTGGGTGGATGGGTGGTTGGGTGGGTGGGTTGGTGGTGGTTGGGTGGATAGGTTGGTGGTTGGTTGGGTGGGTTGGTGGTTGGTTGGTTGGGTGGGTTGGTGGTTGGATGGGTGGGTTGGTGGTTGGGTGGGTGGGTGGCAACGGCCGACGAACTCCTACGCGTCACACGTAGGGGAATTACGTGGAGCTTGGAAAAGTGATCGTCTCTTCCCGGTCCAAATCTGCCCACCAGTCTGCACGCCTTGCGCTGCCTTCAGAACATTTACTCGTAAAGGTTTCCGTTCAATACAAAAGGCAGTGGATTTTTCATTTTGTCTTAAGTATAAATCGAAATGTTATCACAAGTCTTTCCGATTTTACTATTTTGGGAATAATAATAATTCCCCGCACTTTGTTATTTCTACCGCTGAATTAAGGCCTCCTCCCCAAGTCGTGTCGGTCAAGAGAGTCGTTTGACCATACTTCACCATGCAGGCCAGTGTGGCTTTGTGAGGACGAACTTGGTGAGTCGCGGTTGGAGCAGAACAAGCCTCGCCATGACGACCACGATGACGTGACCCAGCAGGTGGCGCGCTTACCACTCGTTGCAGAGGTTCACAGTTCGAATCCAGTGGCCGCCCTGGTTATTACTGCGGTGTAAAAGACACCACCTTCTTGCTTCAAAGTAGAACTCAATGACAAGAGCAAGGCCCATTGTAAGCCGGTGTCAGGTTCCAAATTGGGATTACACACCACAGTCGTGGCTCCACGACTGGCAGACTGATGCCTTCGGCGATTCTTGCAAATTAAACTATTCTGGTCTCTGGAGTTCTTACGAAATGAAACAAAACACACTTGGAACTCAACAACGGTGATGATGCCACCGATGACGACAATGGCAACGATCGTGCTGATGACAATGCATATCCTGCAGCTGCCGATGGTGCCGATGACGCATGCTTCTGACGACCACGATGATGATGACAATGAGACTTTTTCCCCCCTTTGTAAACAGTCTCGGCATCGAATGGCGTTTCCGCTTCACATCGTCAATTATCGGCCATGATTAAGAATACGAGAGATGCGTCGTGTGCGCAACGGTTAACGAGCTGCGACGGGGTGAGGACAAAGGCTGGATGGGTTTTAGGGGGCGGAGAGAGAGAGAGAGAGGAGGGGAGAGGAAGCGAGGTCGGCGTAATGTGCGCAAAGCCGAGCAGGAATGCGGGCCAAGAGAGACGGTCATTAGCGAGAAATTAAGCAGCACTTGAATGTGGCTCGCCCGCTAATGCTCACTCACAAGTGGGGTGGGAGGGCGGGTGAGGACCTGGCTTAAAAGCCAAGTTTCGCTCGCCCGCCCGCTCGCCCGCCCGCCCGCTCGCCCGCCCGCTCGCCCGCTCGCTCGCCCGTGTGTGTGTGGCCCTTAATGTGGTGAGCGGTGATGCAGCGGCTAGTGCACTCTGTTATGAACCTGGCGAAGAAAGTTTAATGTCTGCCCCATCACGAATATCAGTGATGAATATCTGGACCGGTGTTGGACCTCCCCCGAGGTTGACTCTTAAAAAAATTGCACTCGGTGTGGTGTGCAAACATCGGGCATTTGGAAGACAAAGGCGGACACAGTGGTGCTAGTCACACCAGCCCTCGTGCATGCCGTGCCGACTTTCATAGGCACTCACAAACAGCACTTGCCCTAACAGCCTGTATGTGATATGGGGAGTCTTTGGCCCTTAGAACAGCCCCACCCATCCCCCGACCACCCCCCTTTCTGCCCCACCCCCGCTCAACCATGTGACCTCCACACAATCTGTTTACTCATCATTCATCACCAACACAGTTACTCTCTGCATCCTCACTCCAAGATCCACTATGTCATCGTGGCTTTGACGTCAGTGGCGGAAGCCGTTGGTGGTACCACCACCACCAAAACCACCACCACGAACACCACCACCACCTCGCCAACGCGTTCTCCCCTCCGCCAGATCGCACGCGACAACCTCCAAGGTCTGCCCTGACATATGTGCTCCGGATAAGTTATAAGATAAGTTATAATTGAGTCGTTCAACCTCCAACGATGACACCATGTGAGCACGATGTATTTTCCGGAGGTACATCTGTAATGTTACGAGCTTGAAATCAATTACGACAATCACGATGACTTCCAAGGCGCTGTAACACGGCAAGTCGTTACACGGGCGGCTAAAGTCACGGGTAATTTTGACAAACAGCGTACAAAAATCTTAAACTCTGCACTGCTGGTGGTCCGCTAGGCCTTGAGACGTGGCTCCGTCGAACTGACGAGTTTCTTTCGCAAAACACCAAGCGGCGTCGACCGTCTCATTAACGCGACTCGCTGAGACGGCAAGTTCATTATTTTCACGGCTTCTCGATTCAACATTTCAAGAGTAGTTTTAATTTGGGACACTGTGTGTTTGGTGCAGGGGCGGTCTGCGTGGGTCAGCGGAGATCCGCGGGTCCCAGAAGGTGTGGCACCCACTGCCCACACGCGAACATTACATTGCACCCGCAACGCTACTTTCAACTTATGCAACAAAAGCTTCGCTAAACAATAAAAATTAGCAGCGAAACACATTTTTTTCTTTATTCTCACAGCTAGAATTTAGCCAAACGAATTGCTAAACCAAATTAAATTGCGTATTTTTTAGGAGTCAATGGTGATCAAGCAAAGCCCATCATCTCGCCACTCCTGGGAACGTGGCGGCCGAAACCCCGACTCAAACCCAGGATCTCAGCAGGGCCAGTTCAACAGTTCAAGAGGGTTCTCTCCACATAAGTCAAGGCATTTTTTTGTAAATTAGCAGCTACTTGATACAGTAAATTTAGCTGTGACGGTCCCACCTGAAGACGGAGACTTGTGTTGCCTCCGAAACGTCGTGATTTATTATTTTATTTCTATTATTATTATTTCATTTTTTACCTACGTGACTTTACCGGAAAAAAACCTAAGAGTATGAATCCTTGCAGTCACGAAAGCTTCAAATCTAGAATTAGCAGCTACATCGTAAAGGACGGGATGTGACCGGGTAAAGGTCGCGAGTTCGCAGGTTAAAAGTCAAGAACCGCAGCACAGGGGCGGCGCTTCTGACCTTGGCCTCCTCCTCCTGCGCCTTCTTGACGATGGCCTGGAGCTGCAGCTCCCGCTGGTACTCGGCTCGAAGCAGCTTCTCCTCCATGATCCTCCGCTTCTGCTCCAGAAGCTCCTCCTTCCACTTCCTCACCTCCTTCACCTGCGGCGGAGGCACAAAAACAAAAATCATCGATCGTCACGTCGCGTGCGGGGTGGGCTGAAAGCGCGGGTTACTCCCACCTCTTCCTAAAACATCTGGCGAGCGTGGTAGAGAAGGTATTATATTATTTTATTATGTTTTATTTTTATTATTTTATTATTTCCATTCTACGTGACTTTACCGAAAGAACCAAGAAGATGAATCCCTGCAGTCACGAAAGCTTTAAATCGAAATTTAAGGTCAAAATACCCCACATGGAGTGGCTCTCTAGAGCTCCCCCTAGTGGGGGCGCTTCCAACTGCAGGGGCCTGAGCAAGTAATTGCAGGGCTGTGCCTTATTTTTTTATTTTGACAGGAGGCGTAGGACTTGGGGTGGAGGGGGGGGGAAGGTGTGACGCGGTGGGGCGTGTGGGCGGTGGAGGAATACGAGGCAATTTCTTGTTAAAGACAGAAAAAAAAAAAGAATTGAGAAAGAAGAAAAAAAAAATCGCAGCACAAACACGTAATCCGAGCGCCGGGGAGTAGCGTTTTGGCCTGGAGCTTAGAGCAGGACACGGTGCAAGGCTCCCGAGCCTGCAGCAATACACCAGACAATTGTCCTGAAATGAATGGGCACGGTGGGTGGTGGTGGTGGTGGCGGTGGCGTTGGCGGTGAAGGCAGCGGGCTGTGTGGTGAGTGCGAGAGAGATGGAGAGAGATAGACGGGGAGGGAGACAGCGAGCTGGGCTGTGCCAGACTGCTAAGGGATTGCAAGTTTGACCGGGAAGTGAACCTTTGACCTGAGGCCGCCTCTAACACCACCCCTCCCCCGCCGGCGCTTACCGCTGCTCAGCGCAGGTTACACTCCTGTTGAGGTTGCTGACCAGGATGACCAGGAGGTCAGCAGAGGCTAATTTAACTCGCCACCCTTTCTCCATTGTTCGGCCCATTCATCTTGTCCATTCATTGTCTGTCCTACTTGTCCGTCCTTCTTGTCCGTCAATCCATAACAGTGTGTCTCTGTCACCTTTCTGTATTTCTCATTTATGGATAGATATCTTGTCTGCCCATCTCATGTGTTTTATCCGTGTCTTGTGACTCCGTACATTTTTCCCCGCTGCGTACATTGTTCATCCATTTATAAGTCAACCAATCCAGGCACCTTGTTTGTCTGTTTGTCCATCTGTCAGTCCAACCGACCTGAATTTTTGTCCCTGTTCACGCATCTGATACATTTTAAATGTGTCCATAAGTCTCTCTGTCTATCTGCCTGTCCATGTATGACATGAATCCATTGCGTCCATCTGCCTCTCCTTCTGTCTTACATGGTCATCCATCTTGCCGACGCCTCTTGTCCACCTGTTTGTTTGTCCACCCATCTGTACGCGAGTCCATCTTGTCTGTCCACGCATCATGCCCACGCGTTCGGTTCTAAGTCACTTCCGCCAGTCAGCATCTTTTCCAACCACGAGACTCTGTCCGCCCATCCCGACAAACCAATCGCCCGTTCGTACGTGCGTCCATCCACCAGTCCGTGTTGTGTCCGTCCACGTAGTTTTGTCCGTCCGTCCCCCCTACCTACCCACCAGCCAGCACACCTTCCACCCTCCCACCCACCCACGAGTTCATGATCTCATCTTCCCCTGCACCCCGACCAACGAAGAGTGGGGAGGGCGGTCAATCGACAGCGCTGCATTGTAATTAGCTCGCTCAGGGAGCGAGTTAAGCCCAAACCTTTTTACGGCCGACGAAGGATTTTCTCCAGGTAATGGCAAGTGATCCTGGGCGGATGCGGTGGCGATTAGAAGCGCAAGCGCGCACGAGGAGGCGAGCGAAAGAGCGAGGCGGCGGGGGGGGGGCGACATGAACGAGTGGGGGTAGAGCGACCGCGTAGCTCCAGCCGGCTGGGCTTAGTGCGGAGGATAATATATGAAAGGTGCCTTTCTTCGTGCGATTCGAGAGGGCCCCGTTATTTAAAATTGTTGCTTGTTTTCCCGGCCCCGTATCGTGCGCCGTCATCTGTTTAAAAACCGCCCGCTCTACCCGCTTGACCCCGCGGGGTAACGTACACCCTCGGCGCCCGCTCAGGTGTCAGACGTGGAAATAAACGGGCCCTCGCGCACCGCGAAAACCCGAAACCAGAGGAAAACAAAAAAAAAAATCTGAAAACTAAAAATAAATGATGGCTGGGTTTCGCTCTTTGGCTGTTAGTTGATCGCCAAAAGTCAAGTCGAAGTCATGCTGTGAACATGATGATGATGGTGCTGCTGGGGATAGTGGGGTCTGCTCGTGGGTGTGGTGTGATTGCTGGAGATTGTATGGATGATGATGAGTGACGATGATGGTGTTGCTGATGATTGAAGATGGACATTGTGATGAAGATGATGCTCATTATCATCATCATGCAAGGGGGGTACTCACCCTCTCCATGAGCTTCTGCAGCTTGAGCGAGTTTTCCTCCCGCAGTTTCTCCCGGATCTGCTGCGCCTTCAGCTGCTTCTCCTCGTGCTTTCGCTTCGACTCGGCAATCGTCCTGAGAGCACGCAACGCACCACGCAACGCACCACGCAACGCACCACGCAACGCACCACGTAACGCACCACGCAACGCACCACGTAACGCACCACACAACGCACCACGCAACGCCCCACACAATGCACCACAACACACCACATTACGCAGCGCACCACACCACAAAACGTACCACACAACGCGTTACAACGAAGGCGGCTCTGCCGACTTTCCGCTGCGGGCAAAGTCAAAGGAGTTGAGCGAACGGAAGGGGGTGCGTGCGTTGTGGAGCGGAAGCGGTTTGACCCAGGGAAGGAGCGAGCGTGCTCGCGACCTCGGACGAACACCCACCGCTTGCGCGACGGGGACGACAGCTTCTCGTGCATCTGGATGGCGTGGCCCGGTGGCCGCGGCGGCTCGTCCTCCACCATGTCGCCCCACGACGTCGTCTGCCGCCACGACTCGCGGGCTGCGGAGAGCGGGGCCCGCGGTTCGTTTAGAGGGACGAGGGGAGGGGAGGGTGGGCTCGGCACTGAGGGTCAACCGGGTTGGGGCAAAGCGAGAGCGCTTCGCCGACGCTGCTGAGACGAGACCGGTGTTAGAACCCGGGGCTGCCACCTGCGAGTGAGTCAAAGGGGTTCTCAAGGTGTGAGAGAGCGTCGGTAAGTCCTCAGGCAGGTCACCGATGATTTTTACCCTAGAAACACACGACTCGTCGGCTTTTAAGACGTGTTCTTTCATACGACATTTGCAAGGCAACTAACAGTACACTGCCGTGGCCGTGTGTTTGGGTCCGGCAATGCGTGCCGACGGCATCAGGAGTTTCTCGAAGTGCAGCGTCCGTACCCCACCACCCCCGTGTGTCAGTGGACCCAAAAAAAATGAGTGAAACAATAAATGGGCTTGGAAAATCTGGCATGCCGGTGAAGCAACGGATCAATTCTAGGGCCAGAGCACCACCGCCGCCACGCGCAAACACAGAGTGCAACTCTGCGACGCAATTTGAACAGAGGTCAACATAAGGACGGGTTTAGAGTCGGTGGTGAATGTGACGAGCAACACAGAGGTATGAAGGTATGAAGACGCGGGGAAAATACAAGGCCCGTAAGCAAAAAAACGAGGCAGAGTAAGAAAACAAATCAGCAAATGTCGGCGTTGATCAAAACTATGATTAACGGGAACCCGCAGAAATTCAAACGTGTGGATTGACGGCGAAGAAGAGTTGGGCCACAAGTGAAGTGGTAAACAGGTCGGCCTCGACGTACAAACAGCAAGCCTCGGGCTGCAGGACTACGGTTTAAAAGAAAAATCTAAATCCATCACGAGAGATTTATAACAGCAACAGCAGGAGGCGGATAGGTAGAAGGGTGAGGTAAAAGTGGGCCAATTCACATAGATGGGCCTTGCCTATACATTAAATATGCAGGCCTAACCTGCTCAGGTATAAACTAACAGAAAAGATCAAAACATAAATATTGATACAAAAGAATGGAACTGGGTACTTACAAAGCATCAACCTCCAGGAAGAGAGGGAGATAAGACACCCGGAAGACGAAGGATTTGCAATACAATTATAAGTTACAATGATATGCACAAGTTTCGTGCATCTTCTTGGTTCTTTCGGTAAAGTCACGTAGAAACAAGTGTATAATAATAATAACAATCATCATCATTTACGTGACTTTTTTCTACGTGACTTTACCGAAAGAACCAAGAAGATGAATCCTTGCAGTCACAAAAGCTTTAAATCGAAAAAAGTTTCGTGCAGTGTATGTGTGAGCAGTAACGCGTTGGTGTTGGTGGTTCAGATCACCTTCGTGAAAAAAAAGTCTTGAGACTGTCCGAGAAGCTTCCCTGCGTCAACAAGTGTGAATAATAATCATAACAATCATCATCATTTACGTGACTCACCCTCATACTCTGCCATGATGTCATTCCAATCCATGTTGCTCAGAGGTCCCTCCAGGTTGAAGGGTAGGCTCAGCGATGACATGGTGGCCGTGCTGGCCTGCACGGGGAGGTTCAAACCAACACAAGCTACCACAAAGCCGCTCGCTTCACCTTGCTCGCTCAGCTGCCCGCTCACTCACCTCTCCACGCGTCCGCTCACTTGCCCACTCGCCCGCTGACTCGTTCATTCAATTGCTCTCTCATTCACTCGTTCACTCGGCAGCTACTCGCTCGCTCGCCCACTCGCTCACTCGCTCGCCCACTCGCCCGCCCACTCGCCCGCTCGCCCACTCGCCCGCTCGCCCACTCGCCCGCCCACTCGCCCGCTCGTCCGCCCACTCGCCCGCTCGCTCGCTTGCTCACCGTTCAGTCACGCGCTGACTAACTAACCACGAACTCACTGGCTAATTCATTTACCAATTCACCTACTCACCGAACCAAATCAACGTCCTCTGTGTACAGTAGCTACAGAGGAGCTCACCAAGAACTACAATCTTTTTTCAGAGGAGACCTGCACGCCTGCCTATATGCCCTGTCGGTCATTTTCATTCATGCTCCTTGTTATGTAATGTGACTTGCACGTGCATGTGTTTGTATGTATGCCAGTGTTTATTCATGTATATGCGAGTGGATATGTGTGACTGAGTGTATGCAGTGTGTATTCGTATTCCATGTTTATCCGTGTCTGTATGCGTGTAAAATCATGTCTGGGTGGATGTGTGTGTGGGGAATGGTCGTGCAGTGGTGAGCACACTGCGCTGCAAACCCGGCGACCCGAGTTCGACTCCCGCTCATGGCCAAAATTGGTGAGGAACATCTGAACCAGTCCTGGACCTCCACTAGGTCGACTCAGCCTTGATTGGGTATATTTTGCATCAGCACTGGGGAGACAATGGTGGCCGGGCGTGGTTATGGCCACACCACCTGCTCGTGCATGGCCATGTTGGTTTCATGGTGCCATACATGTCAACCCATTATCAGTGACCTCCCTTATTACTGACCAATTCAGATCTTATTGGTCACTCCGTTCCCTTATAAATCTCAACGATCATCCTACAAAGTTCCATCACAAGGGAGAAACATGAATAGATAATCACCACTAGTACAATCACCACTACTCACTACTTATACACTCGCCACTAGTAGACTAACCACTGCACACCTGTCAAGTCCTTATCAGTGGCTACCTTATTACTGACCAATTAAGACCGTATTGGTCACCCCCGTTCCCTTACAAATCTCAACGTTCATCCGACAAAGTCCTATCACAAGATCACAAGGGAGAAACACAAACAAATAGACAGAACATGTTTTTACTCAATTTGCCTGCACAACCGCATGGGTTTACAGGTATGTGGTGCTCGCTAACAGAACTTGTCTCAGCAGAATGTGTGGGTTATGCAGGGAATCTTTGTCTTTATATGGGAGTGCATGCACGTGGAATGCATCCCTTGCCCAAATGGGCCTCACCATGTTCCATTACCGCTCATTGTTTTCGCAAAAAAAACCACGGCCTCATCTCTGCTAAGCCTTGGCCACAAGTGCTCAACCTAATTGCCCCTTTATTCCTCCCGAGGGGACCCCTTATTCTCAGCCCAAGTGTCAGACGGCCAAATACTCATCCACAGGCCACACACAAGCTTCGTACTCGATCATCCCCACCCAGCCACCCACCCACTCAGCCACTCAGCCACTCAGCCACTCAGCCACTCAGCCACCCACCCAGCCACCCACCCACCCACCCAGCCACCCAGCCACCCACCCAGCCACTCAGCCACCCAGCCACCCAGCCACCCACCCAGCCACCCACCCACCAACCCACCCACCCAGCCACCCACCCAGCCACCCAGCCACCCAGCCACCCACCCAGCCACCCAGCCACCCACCCAGCCACTCACCCACCCACCCAGCCACTCAGCCACCCACCCAGCCACCCAGCCACCCAGCCACCCACCCAGCAACCCACCCAGCCACCCACCCAGCCACCCACCCAGCCACCCAGCCACCCACCCAGCAACCCACCCAGCCACTCAGCCACTCAGCCACCCACCCACCCAGCCACTCAGCCACCCACCCAGCCACCCACCCACCCAGCCACTCAGCCACCCACCCAGCCACCCACCCACCCACTCAGCCACTCAGCCACCCACCCAGCCACCCACCCACCCAGCCACTCAGCCACCCACTCAGCCACTCACCCACCCACCCAGCCACTCACCCACCCACCCAGCCACTCACCCATCCACCCAGCCACCCATCCACCCAGCCACCAACCCACCCACCCAGCCACCAACCCACCCACCCAGCCACTCACCCACCCACCCACCCAGCCACTCAGCCAACCAACCATCCGCCCATTCAGCCAGCCACCCACTCATTGAGCCAGCCGCCCACTCACTCACCCACCCAGCCAGCCAAACAGCCACCTTACCCTCCACTGGTCACCCAACAGCTTGGGCAGTGACAGCTCCTAAGGGCCACGGTGACCCCATGACAAACACCCTCAGTGCCCGATCTTGATTCCGACCGATACCACAAACCCGATCGCTCATTCACCCCAAGCCCGACTCAACAAGGAACTGGCCCCCACATCCCAAGGCGCGCACCTCCTAAAAAGTACAGAATCTCCCACGAATACACGAGAGAAACATTGTTGTTATTGTAACCCCAACAATGACCCCCCCTCCCCTCCAAATCTCCAACCAATGACTGCCAATCTGTAACCCTAAACCCCACATGCCTGACCCTAACCAAACCTCAAATCCATAACCCTTCAACCCAATCCTTTAAATCCAAAACAAAAATCCCATTGCCTTCGCCCCAAATCCACAACCCACAGCCCTACCCTGAACGTCATAAACTCGAACACTAACCGATCTTTACTCCAACCACCGATTACTAAGGATAACTAAGTCCATATACATAATCCGATCACCTAACTCCAAACCCCTTATCCGAAACTATTACCCCACTGCCTAATCCTAACCCAACACGATTAATGCTATAACCCTATCAAGTGTACCTCTAAACCCAACCCTAACCCAAACCCCTAAGCAGTCTCACTCACACAGTTTGTCCATCTCCGAACCGTTTAACCCCTCAGCGATGCCCTGACCGTTGAGCGTAGAGAGCGCCGCTCACTGATAATCATTTTGCCGTGTCCACCTCCTACCCCCCGAACCCAAGCTCGAGAACCCCTAAACCCCTGACCTCCCTCGGGGGAAAGTGTCTCTCGCGCTCAGAGTCATCTCCTAAGCACGACCCTAACCGTAAACCCCTGACCCCAGAGCGAACCGCAGAGTGTGGAGCGTAGCTCACAAAGGCCTCGCCCTGTGAGTCCGTCTCCCAACCCGTAACCATGACCCCTCGACCCCTGACCCCTGAGCGTTCCGCTGGGCGGGGATCGTCGCTCACCGACAGCTCGCTCTCCGTGTCCGTCTCGCCGGCCGTGTCCAGGTCCTGCTCGTCGAGGATCTCGCGCGTCAGCTGCTCTTCCTCGGCGATGGCGTTGGCGATCGCCTCCTCGTTCTCCCGCTCCAGCCGGCACGCCAGCTCCTCCTCTTCCGCCAGCACGGCCGCCATGCTCTGTGGGAGACGCGGCGGTGGCAACGGGGCGTCAGTCACCGTCGATGCCGTCGGCCACCGTCGGCCGCCATCGATCCCGCCGCCATCTCGGACGGAAACTTCCGTTCGTCAGGCCACGACGTGTCCTGCCCAAGCCCGCCGTTATAGCATTTTGTGTCGAACTAGGGCCGGCAGGTTTATTTGTTTAGGAATGCAAAGTCCCTAGGCCAAGCGTTTGCTTCCGGTACCACTGTGTTGAGGGTGCGTAGGCCTCCGCTGAGTCAGTGAATCGGACCGGCAGTCCAACTGCGTCGAATCGAGCAAGTCTGACTCTGCTGTTTGAGACACTGAATGTCGAAGTTGGTCCAGGGTTTTCTTGACTTGAAGCAATGCTGCTGAAATCGTGCACTCCCAGATGGCTTTGTGTGTGTGGCTGACGGTTCGGGCAGGATTTAGTTTTTTACAGAAAGGTGGATATAAGCCGACATTGTCTGCCGATTTATTTTCTTTCTTTTCTTAGCAGTCAATGCGATGATGTCACTAACCTGCGCGTATCCTCCGACCCACGTGTTCCTGCTTTTGTTTCTCAGTGTAATTCCAATGCCGTTGTTGAGAATGAAAAGTAAAACAAAACCAATGTGTCCCTTAAAGACGAGTTTTAATCGACGGGTAGTGCCTGTTATCCATAATAAAGGTGTTTTTGGTTAGATCGCGTACATATACATGTGCCGTTGAAACCCGCAACCACCCAACACGGCCAATCAGTAAGGTTTGTCACGTAAGCAAAACGTGCCAATTCGTTACTAGTTCAGCACTAACCAGTTGTGTCCTGGAGAGTAAAACCACAAGTTTAATAATTCCTGTCCCCTGACGTTTCGCTGGTAATTGTGTAGAGGAGTAGAAGAGGGTAGTGGCGTCATGTGCGCGGTCCGGTGCGATGGCGTCACGGGACGTGGGGTCACGCGCTCTGGACGGCGCACATGACGACACAGCTCCTCGAGTATAAAGGGGAGTCAAGGGTCGAGAGAGGGTGAAACGGGGAGCCAGGGGCAAGAGCGTAGGGATAGTGGATATAGCACAGCGCCAGGGCTGGATGTCCCTGTGCTCCTCGGTCGGCCGTGTTGGCTGATGCCACGGCCGGCGCAGAGGAGATGGCACGGGGCAGCCAGTTGTGTTGGGACCCAGTGGGACCTAGCTAGGGACCCCTAACCCCTGGAAAGTTGTTACACACTGGTGTGCTCCCAAACTTTAATAAACCCTTGGCGGAAGCGCTTAACCCTACATCTGTCTCCGAGTGCGTCCCGGGAACTTCTCAACAATTGCAACAAACACCAGCATCATCAGGCGACGGCCCAGAGCCGAGGACACATGGCTCAGAGACATGGAAATTGGAACAGCAACTGAAGAGTTCGACGAGAAGCAGGGAAAGAAGCCAGCTTGGAATTACCTCGGTGCAGGGATTGCATTCGATTCTGGGGCTCTCGGTGCATATATATACAAACACGTGCTACAAGTTGCATCCCATCGTCAAGCCACTGCTGTGTGAAGGCCTCTCCCCATGATGGTCCATGAGGGTTAGTGAAGCGGGGGGGGGGGGGGGGGGCTCAGCAGTGGTACAGACATCGCGCGGCACTGGTGGTAGACGTGGCCAGGAAATGAAATCTGGTTTCCGGGTTCAGAAAGTAGTGGGTCTAACCACCACGTTTTCGCTCCACGTTAGACACGGACATACACGCGGACGTATGCACACGTAAGCAAACACATGCTTGATGCATGCACATACACACACACATATAAGCACACATATATTACCACACACGTATACAAAGAACACCCATGTAGCCTCGAACAGACTATTTGGGCAAGTGCCATTCGTAAGTAATTATTAAGACCGGCACAGCACACAGGGGGGTGGGGTGGCCAGCACCATGCCCGACCACCTTTGTCTCCCCAGTGGTGATGTTTACATACCACACAAGGCACTCAATTAATGCTGAGTCGACCTAGCGGAGGCCCAGGACCGGCTCAAATATCCGTTCGCTGTCATTGGCCGTGGGTGGGAATCGAACTCGGGTCGCCGAGTTCGTAACGCAACGGGTTAACCGCTGCACCATTGCTCACCCCCCCCCACACAAACACACACACACGCGCGCACACTCTCGCGCACGCACGTACGCATGCACACGTATGCCCCCAGTGCCCCAGAGCGATTTAGATGGCGCCGGGGACTGATGGCCTCGGGAGAGGAGCCGAGCGCACAAATGCGATCCCTGGAATCGGAGGGGGGAGGAGGAAAAAGAACTGCGTGTTGGGGGGTTGGGGGCGACCAAATGCATTCGTAGCCCACTCTCACATTAACCCCATACGCCACAAGCGCGTCTTAAGGCACGATGCCCCGATGGTTGCAGAGTATTTCTGGCCGTTGACCACAACTCGTAACGGCCACCGCAGTGCTTTTTCTGCCTTGCCGACCCAAACAGGCGCTTGCTCGCTAGCGGTGCTCGCGCACGCACAGTTGATGTCGCTCTACGGAGGATCTGTCATCTTGTTGTACGTGCGTGTGTGTGTGGGTACGCATGCGCGTGTCTGTGTGCTTTACGTGGAGAGCGGTAGTGTGAGCGGTGAGCGCACCGCGCTACGAACCTGGTGACGATTCTCGCTTACGTTCAATAACAACGGTGAATAATATAACTGGTCCTGTGCCTCCCCTAGGTCGACTCAGCCTTAAGGGAGTACTTGGTGCGGTGTGTAAACATCAGCACTGTGGAGACAAAGGCGACGACACCACCAGCTCGTGTGCTGCGTGGGCCTAAATAGAAGACGTAGGAAAACGTGAGGTTAGAAATAGACAAATATGAAGACAGACACAGGCACACAAGAGACCACACGTGGAGAGTTACACAGACAGACAGGACGAGGCAAAGCCCGCGACGACAAAATGCGAGGATGGAACACAGCAAGAGAACAGAGGATGCGAGAGTAAGTGGAACAATGGGAGGAGGAGGAGGAGGAGAGAGAGAGAAAGAGAATGTAAGCAGAGTAGACAGAGCAAGAGAGAGAGGGGGAGAGAAAGCAGGAGAGAGACAAAGAGTCCAGAACAGACACACGGAGTACAGGATAGAGAGCCAGACGCAGAGATTACAGAAGAGAGAGAGAGAGATAGTAACCAACACACACACAGACGAGTACATTAGAGAGGAGAGAGCAACACACATAGTGCATTAGAGAGAGAGGGGAGAGAGAGAGAGCAACACACAGAGTGCATTAGAGAGAGAAAGAGAGGAGACACGCAGGCGGCGAGGAAAAAACACGCCAAAAGGAAGAAGCAGCGTGCGTCTGGGGAAGGGTTACCACAGCAAGAGATCGTGGACGATGAAGGCGACATCGCCACGGAAATCAACCCGTCTACTGTGGTCGTAGAGACTCACTCCCCACGAGCTATGCATGAAGCGAGGACAAATACTATTTGCTCAGCCCTCGACCAAGAGGATAAAGTCGGTGGAGAGTCATCGAGCACACTCGCCAAGGGTGAGGACGAAATGGATGGGAATGAGGAGGAAGGTCCCCGTCCCACTGCTGACCCAAAACCAGTGGGAGAGACACCGGGCCACCCGAAGAGCCTGAGCAGGAGACATCCCAGACCATCCCTGACACTGGGGGAGAAGACGCCGCTGGGCCATGCGCCAGCCCAGCCGCTGCAGCTCTTCCAGCGGAGCCGGACGCCGGGGAAATCGACTCAGATCGGGACGACTGCTTCAGCGTGGGGAGCGAGAGCAGCCAGGGGTCTACATTCCTTGACCCTCAGACTTCCCTGGTCTCCCCGGAAGATCTCTGCCAATTCCTCGACGAGACTAACGTGAGGAAGGACAAAGCGGACATTGCCTTGGCTCGATGGAAGGACAGCAAGGCAATAAAGGCCTCTGTGACTCAAGCCGAGAGACTCCTCGCCAAGCAAGGACTCGAGTCCCGGGGCAGGGAGAGGACAAAGCTGAGATATTTCCGCAAACAAATTAATAAGTGGGAGGCCACGGAGGCAAGGAACAAGCAATGCCTAAACGTGAACGGGTGCAGGGAGGCAGTGCGGAGGTTTTCCGCAATGTCTCTTGCGAGGAAACACGCTGCCTCTGTCTTCTTCATTCAGGAGACGCATCTCACGGTCGAGGATGACTGGAGGAAGGAGTGGGGAGGGGACTCCTTCTACAGCCACCTTGACAACACCTCCTGTGGAGTCGCGACCCTGTTTGCTAAAGGGTTTCATCCCGAGCTCATCACCCAGACCGAAGTGGTGAAGGGAAGGCTGCTCGCGGTAACGGTCAGGGTGGGCGATGTCACCACCCACCTACTGAACGTGTACGCGCCGGTGACCAACAAGGAGAAGATCCCGTTCCTGCACCTCCTGAGGAGGCACCTGACTAGGATCCCGGACGACGAGTGCGTGATTGTGGGGGGCGACCACAACTGCACAATCGGCGCCCTGGATCGTTCGGGGAGGCAGCCGGGGGGAGTTGGTCCAAAGAGGGAAATGCAGGGACTCCTGGAGGACGCCGCCTTGGTGGACGTGTGGCGCATACATCACCCGGGCCAACGCCAGTTCACGTACACGAGGACGAGACACGATGGCTCGGTGACACAGTCCAGGCTCGACAGATTTTACATCTCTAAGAGCTTTGTGACGTGCGCCATAACGTCTGGCATCAGGACGGCACCCTTCACGGACCACAACCTCGTCGTGCTCCGTGTCAGGCTGGAGAGGGCCCGCGAGGGCAAGTCCCACTGGCATTTTAACAACTCGCTGCTAGAAGATGGCGCCTTCATAGAGATGTTTGAGGACTTCTGGGAAGAGTGGCGAAAAACCAAAACGCAGTTCGACTCGCTGGCCCAGTGGTGGGATATGGGAAAAGTGCACACCAGGCTGTTGTGCCAACAATACACCTGGGGGAGCACCAAACTGAAGAACGCGGACATCACCGACATAGAAGCCCGAGTCCTCGATTTGGAGAGTCGCCTCGCTGAGGACAGTG